CTGAGTACGCGACCCAACTTTCCCTCGTATCTTTTTTATTGGGCATTTCAATTGGTTTCTAATTTCTTCCTTGGCATGCCCCACTCGGCCTCTCCCCGGAACTCACTCGTTCATAAGCCTGCGGGGCGCGCTTCACACTTTCCCCAGACGACCCCACGACACAATCCTACCAAATATTCCTAACACTCTAGCCTCCCACGTCTTATCAGCTTTTTACTGGTCTATAACTGTTGGGCTGCTTCTATCTTCTACTACCCGGCGGGACTACTTCGTATCCTACAGACGTTCCTCTACGTCCGAGACCTGACGGTAGCGTTCGAAGGCGCGTTTATTGGAAGAAAACATGGTCTGCACTACATAGGAATTTCGGCAGTCTCTTGCCCATCCAACAGAAACGCAATTCGGATATTATTCTCAATCAGCCTGGTTTGACACGGAGAAGGTAGAGATAGGTTGCCAGCTCAGACGACCTTCACGTGCATCTACTCATTTACTTGCTCCTGTTGAATAGGTTATATTGTTCGTACGAGTAAGCGCCAGCCCAAAAGAGTAAGAGAACATCTCCCGACATAGCTTATAAAAGGCGAAGTTAATAACATAAATAACGGTATTCCTTCCGCCACATTTTTTCGCAAATATTTCGAGAGTTTGATCACGACGTGGTTCAGATAGTTCTTGAAATGCCGGTAAGACTTCAGGATTTTCTATGTTTTCTGTCAGTTGTCCATAAATACAGACGCTGTTCTATATTGTTTGATTACTACCAGCCAACGTTAGGGAGTGCTGAATACGCGTATTTCTGGCTTGTTGGCCGTCATCGGCAGCACCTACCCAACTCCAGTATAGCCACAGAAACTGCCGCTACACTCGAGTTTCGAACCCGCGACCAGTGAGCTAGAGACGAACGTCCTATCCATTGAGCCAACGGGTCGACGTCTTTGCCGGTTGTCGATCGGGATATCGATTATTACATAGGAGTACTCCGATCTGGTCCAGGATTCACTAACCCTGGCTGTTTCGTGTAACGATTCGCTGACCCTTCAGCTGTTCTATATGTTTACCAAAAACTTCAAAGTAAGGTTGTTCCCAAAAGCATTTACTTAAATAGTGAATGTTTGAACATTCTTTCTTACGCAACTGCCTGTTTGGGTAATGGTTTTAGAATCACCAAAACATGGTAACTCATTGCCGAGAAAAATAGACGCCCACAACAAAGATCGCAAATTAATGTGCCTAAGATCAATTTAAAAGCGTTCTATAACCAGTACCCTATTGAAAAAGCGCTTTTATTAGGTATTTGGATGTCGGATATCTGCGTACTTTACCTTGTTTTGAAGTTAAGGTTAAGAAAAAAATGACTGGAATTTTGACCTCCCTGAAAATTAGTGATAAACCTTCCACTGAAAATGAAAGAACGCACATTCCTTTGTATACTGGAGCAGTTTTCGGTATGTTTATTTACCTTTAGGCACCGTTCTATGATTATGAAAGCACGATAGCATGGCAGAAGATATACTATTTTTAATTAATTTTCTTTTATAGTACAAAAAACGTTTTGGTCCGCAGCGTTTAATAGCGTGGGAAATTACTTGGATATCCAGAAGCGTTTGATTTAGCTCGCATTGACCCACTATTTCCTTCAATCTATTGACTTGAACTGAAATATCTTCTAATAAATAGCATTTTGCGCTTTAGGTTAATTCAATGAACACAATAAACAACCTCAACCATGTGTTAAAGTACCCAGTCAAATTTCGATCTTCAGACTTCATCAGATAGGCATTCTACTGAATGCAGTCCTTATGCGTCTGTGGGCAAAACAGCTAAGTTGACGTAACCGGAAGACTGCTCCGGACGCGGATGGCCGAGCACGCAACAGCAGTAGTGAGACTGAAAGACGTCAGCTCCGCCCAAGTCGCAGCTCATTCGGCGGGACTCAGTTATACATTCAATTATGCTGAAGCCGATATTCTCGCGAGGAGTGACTTACAAGTTACTCGCGAACAGCTGAAGTCATGTTTTTCCGGTCCCCAGTCAAGCACAATGACCTCCACGCTCGATGCTGAGAATTGGCCTACACAAAGTACTTAGTGACGCGAAGATCGCACGGAGGACTGGCACTGGTGCCAATCTCATCGAGCCAAACGGCCCAAATTGCACCCGTGCGGAGGACAAAATTAGGGTAGTTAGCAGCTTGACTGCAGGAAATTATCGCGGCGCGTACAACTAACTGCCTGCGGTGAACGCGGGAGCCGATAATTTTGGCAGGTGTGTAGCAAATGCCTACGGCAACACCTGACCAATCAGACACTGTTCGCATCACGTGCTACTATTTGCGGTGCATTCGGGAACTGCCAATTTTAGGATTTGAGTAAGGATTTCGCTTAGAGGTTTGGCGTTAGGGTTTTTCAGTTTACGGTCAGAGTTTTCAGTGCTGGTTAGGGTTTTAACACCATGATTAGGGTTAAGTGCTTTAGGAATAGTGTAAGGCTTTATATTTCCTTAATTTTCATTTTTTTGTATTCCGCTTCTGTATCTTTTCTGTGTCTGGTTTCACCTTTAATGTTTTGGCTGGTGTTTTGTTTGCGTTAACATTGATTTTAGTTCGATGGTTGTCTGTGGCTCGGCTAGTCAGCCACTGACGTCTTCCGCGTAGTTTTATTGTTAAATAAACCCACCCCGAAAATCCGTAGTACCATCATTCCCTAATTAAATTGGCCCTTGCCCCTCGTCCCCTGAATAGGACCACACATCTTTTCGTCATCTGGAGTTCTTAAAAAACGGTTTCCTACAACTGCATTGGGCTTCTGATATTACTTACTTTGTAGTGGTCGCTGTCTGCCCGATGCCTGGCCTTTCTGTCATGACCTCAATCCGTCTAGACCTCAAGGTCGTGGCGGCCGCCAGACTAACTGGCGCGCGTGACGCGGACCACCCAATTCGATACCCACCCACATGCTGTCCAACCAATCACAGGCCGACCTAGCCAATGAACGCTCTCTC